CACATTGCCGCCGCCAAACACCTCACACGCACCACAAAGCGCCCACCATGCTTCCGGGAACCCCAGGCGACGCCTTCAAGAAGGAACGCGACGAAGGTACGACGCCGTCGCCCGCAAGGGAAACTAGAGTTTTCGCCCAAATGAAGAGCACAATGGAAAACGAGATAGGACCTCGACAAGGCCTCCAAGAAGGGAACCGACGCCCACAAGGCGCCGCCATTGTCGTGGCCTCCGCCGACGGCCAAGGGTTCCCCCCGATCCCGCCCCCGTCCCATCCACCCGGCCAAAGACCTGGCTAGGGGAGTGCACGCAGCCGGAGAAGGCAAACTTCACAAAGTTTGACTAAATTTATATAAAAAATGCCAACATCTATTATACTAGAGCTATATGGTATGAAAATCCATTCCATGATGCATCTAACAATATTTCATACTGTGATTGTTGATCTTTTATCTTATAAAGTAAGTCAAAATTTATAAAATTTGACTCTGACCAAATTTAATATACAAACTACAAAGAAATGGAGGGAGTACCCGAGAGTGGATTTTTGGAACCCGGGTGTATTGGAGGACTTTATTTTAAATACTTTGAAAATCATATTTAAGGTTTCAAAAAATTCCGAAAAAAATTCTGCGTGATCATATGAATGTATATTACACATGTGTAAAGTTTGGTGATGAAATAAGTAAATATGCAACCTATACAAAAATAACAAAAATAGTGATTTTCAAATAGTGAATAATACATGCACTGTTCATCTTTCCAAAATCATGATTTTGTCATTTTTGTGTAACTCACATGGTTACTTATTTCAGCATGAAAATTTACACATGTGTAACATACATTCATATAAACATGTTGATTTGTTTTCAGAATTTTTTGAAACTTCAAAATAGCATTTTGGCACAGTTCAAAAAATAGGGCTCCAATGCACCCGGGTTCCAAAGTGACTTTTTGGGGAATACCCGACGTTGTATTGCAACAAAGCTCCTGTGACTTTTCCCTCGCTGGCTTCCAGGCTTGGGTTATGTATGTGTCCTCACTTCAACGACCCCATCCACCCGTGGAATATCCTCGATTCCTCGCGATCCACGTTGTTTCGCATCGTCGTCGAGTGGTCCGGCACAGCCACCTTCCATCACCGATCCATCCATCCATCCATCACTCCGGGACGCAGCGGTCACTGCCCTGTCCCCGTGGCGACGGAAACGAGCGGGACCGTTCCCGTCGACAACGGACGCCACAGTTATCGCCGTCGCCGCTGCGTCTTTCCCGTGAAGATAAGAGCGGCCGTCGCGCCACAGTTATCGACCGTCGTGTCGCTCGATGAGAAAGATCGATCGCCGCCAGTCCGGCGTGGCAAGGCGTGACTCTCCGGCGCTCTCCGGCCACTTGTTCCAATCAGAACCAGTGGCGTCGGCGAAGTAGGCCGCCCTGTGGTCGAGACTCGACGGAAACGGATGTGGAAAAATGCGAGGCGGTGGAGGTCCACTCGCTCGGCCCTCGGAAAGCAACGGCGGCGACCAGGACGCACGCCGGAGGCGGAGGGGAGGTGATTCCAACCACACCGCACGTTTTTCCGTCAGCGAGTTTGCTTGCCAGCCCCAACTAATTGCACCCGCCCGCCCTCGTGCTACTATCAAATGCTCTCCTCCTTGACTCTGCCACTCAAATATTTGACCACTTTTCGACCAGTTAGTCCCAGCTTGATAGACAATGATTCCCGGAGCATGCTTACGGATATTCAGATTGTTTGCTTCCTCCATGCCCTTCTTGACTTCCTTCCTGCTGCAAAATTCCATGCTGCGGACGAACTCTCACGGGATCGAGACGAGAGTCTCGTGGTCAGGATATGTTACGTGCTCACCTTGTCTGTTTCTTCTGCCTCCCAGGGGAGAAGCATGCGGCTCAACACATGGACCATATCGTGTACTGCTGGCAGATACTACTCCTAGTAAGTAGATTATCATCACATAAACTGTGCCCGTATCCTACTGTACATGTCGCACGCGGAGCCATTAGATTCGTATCCTCTCAAATCAATGCACCTCCCTGCCACGGTGCCACCTTTCCCCGGATAGTCGGCCCGCAGGAAGCACTTCGTACACCAACCAGACGCACTAGACCCATGAACCACCGCTTTCCACCGGGTCCACCAGCCAGGCCTCTCCCGGTGCATGGACTCGGTGCATCCAGAAGACACGAAGCCTCCCGCAGCCCCCCCTCCTCGCGCCTTTAATCGCATCGCGACGCGCCACTACAGCATTAGTAGCCGCTTAATTGGTTTGCTCGACGGCGCCTTTGCCTCGCAACTCCCAACCTCCCCCCGCGTCCGCTCCCCTGCCCCCTCGCGCAGCAAGAAACGGGAAGCCAAGGGAGTGCGGCGGCGGGCGGCGGCTAGGGTTCGGAAATGGCGGCCAGTGGAGCCGGAGCGGAGGGCGAGGAGCTGCGGCTGCTCGCCGCCGTCGAGGCCGGCGACGCCGGCGCGCCCGCGGGGGAGAAGTCGTGGCGCCTCAACTTCGACGGCTTGCGCCCGCCGGAGGCGCAGCAGGAGAGGCCCGCCCGAGGGCTCCACCACCACTGCCTCGGCGTCATAGGTACCCTTTCTCTGGCCCACTCGCGCATGTTTTGCTTCTTTATGTCCATGCGTATCCTTGGGGCTTCTCGCGATTTGGCAGCTTGGTTTCTTCGATGGGGCGGCCGCTTTTTTACGCAGCTCGTGATGATTATAAAACCTTACCCTTTTTTGTCTTGTTTTCGGTTCCTGGTAAGAGGAGATAAGTAGTCCATTTCGGATATGGAGATTGGGTTCTGGATACTGACGGGGGTGCTTCGCCAGATTCGACTTCGCATGCTAGCTTCGCAGAAATGTGTAGTTTTCCGTTGGATGTTATTCTTGTTGAGCCTCTCTGGTATTGCGTATGGCCCATATGGGGAACCTCAATCTGTGCTTTTTCGGTTCAGTTCTTTCAGTCTTGCACTGCTCATGCATATCTCCTAAAAAAGGTGATGTGTGAGGTCAGCAGAATTATCGTAGTGGGGGATTGGATGACAAGGATAAAAGGACTGTAGGATCTATCTAGGATAGAACGTGAACTCTTTGCAACTTTCCCCTTTTTAACACACACGAGGGCCCTTTTCGAAAGAAAAAACACATGAGGGCATCTCCAACGCGGATCACCAAAACGCCCGCAAATGCCCGGACCGGGCCATCAGACATTTTTAGGCCTCGAAACACGGGTCACCAAATTGTCTAAAAATCAATTTAGGTGGAGCTTTCACAAAGGAGACAAGGACGGGAGGATGGGGTTTCATCATCGGAAACTCTGAAGGAGGAGTAGAAGCAGCAGGGGCAGGAAGATTGTGCAGACTAACTGAGGCAATTCAAGCAGAAACTATAGCCCTGTTACATGCTGTAGAGAGGGCGAGCGTGCTGGGATGCTGGAATGTTATTTTTGAAACAGACGCACTGGTGCTGAAACAAGCTGTCACTGGCGATGATCATGACAATTCAGTCTACGGTGGCCTGTTTCGTGAAGCAAAATTTAAATTGGTGTATTACTTTCAGTCAGTTCCCATCAAGTGGTGTCCCAGGTCTTGTAATGTAGTTGCTCATAAATTGGCGTCGTTTGCCGCGAGTTTGGTTGGATCAGATGTCTGTATGTGGCTGTCAGATGTACCAAACTTTGTAGCTGATGCGGTTGCCAGCGATTTAGCTGCCCCGAACGTGTAATGGAATAAAGCTTTTCCATTTCAATTTTTTTTGTCTGGACTGGTTCGAATGTCCAAAATCCCACAGGCTGGCCCCAAATCAGCGTAGCACTGGAGGAGTCCGGACGTCTGCCAGGTCGGACTCCGAAAGCCCGGACCCACCCAAAACACTATCCGAACCGGCTGACCGGCCTGCCGCCTACCCGCATTCATGGCGGCTTGGGGACCAAGAAGCCTACTTTGGCTTTAGCTGACCGGCCTCCTCAATGCAAACCCTATCTGCACACTACTCCTCTCCCACACCTCCATCGGCCGCCGCACACCACCACATCTCTGGCCGCTGCTATAGGCAAGAAGATGGACGCCGAGAAGACCCGGGCTTGGTGGTTGCTCAGCCGCTATCGCTCCGACCAGCCGCCGCCATGCTAGGACATCGGATCTAGAGGAGCTTTGGGTCCAATTTGCGTCATTGCACACGGTTGCCAGGCCCGTTGTCGTCCATGTATCCATCCACCGTGAAGGTGAAGCCGATCTTCTCCGACGACGAGAAGCAGAAGCCGCACTTACTCGTCGCGCTGGTGTCGACGGACGACGAGTTCGACCCGCAAATGGAGGAGGCATTGTGCTGGTCGTTGATCGACCGGGGTTTGACACTAGTGTCCTCTCCGTGCAACCACAACGTCCAGAGGACGCCGCATGAAGGAACAACCGCTGTCCCTGCCGTATCGCTAGCCGGACAGCCAGTGGCGCCCGGTTCTCCCAGCCGTCAAGAAGGAGCCGTCGTCCAAGCCACCCCCATGCCTAAATGGGCCGGTCCTAGCATGCTGGCCCGTGGTGGGCCTGGCCTGGCACATTTATAATTGGGTCGTGCAAGAATGAGGCGGGCTGATGGGCTAAATGTGTCAGTGGGCTGACCCGTTTTCTTCCTGTGCTGTGCCTGGGCCAGGGAGCGCGGCGAGTGTCAGCCCGACACAGCCCGTTTATTAGGCGTGCCTAGGTGGGCCGTGTCGTTTAGGTCAGGTCAGGCCGTGCCGGGTCATCTGGCCAGGTTTGGATGCAACACACAACAAAATACGGCGTTCGCCTAGACCAAAGTGCCGCCAGCGTGGGTGCTTGCGGACCCATGCTTTGGGAGGCTTGGGCGCTCGACCATTCCAAGATGACCGTTGAGTCGGACGCCAGCCTCCGGTGCCAACTCAACACCCATCTCGTGCAAGTGGGGCTGTCAGAGTTTGAGTGTGCCCTCTTCCTCCAAGCCGCTGCGGATATGCGGTGCAAGGTGGTGGAGGATGCGGCTGAGCGTATGCACCGTGAGCATGCCGCATCGGCCGGGTAGGGATGCCATGACGCTTGGCAGGCCTTTCGTCGACGAAGGCTCGGGCGGTAAAGACCAAAGCGGCGCAGGCGGTGTTGGCCTACGAGGCCACCGTCCGCTACTATGCATTATTTAGTTTAGGTTTGTTTCAAACTTGTTAGATTTCGTCCGGTTTGGAGGCAATATATTGAACTTGCTAAATTTTGTGCGGACATTTGGTGATCACGGTAGGATGGCCTCCGCCCGGCCGGATGTCCGCGGTCGCGTCCGGATGTGTCCAGGGACATTTGCGGGCTGAAATTTGGTGATCCACGTTGGAGATGACCTGTGCTTCCAAATAAGATCTTTAAGTCTCTTTGCAGGTCAAGCTCCTGAGGATGTTGTCGCTGAATACTACCAACAGCAAGTGGAAATGCTGGAGGGTTTCAATGAAATGGATGCGCTGACAGATCGTGGTTTTCTTCCTGGAATGTCCAAGGTCTGTTCTATAAAATAAGCTTCAGGCTGTGACGTCAGGGAAGATTGCTAACTTAAAAGCTAAATGAAACTTATCTACCTGCAGGAAGAGCGTGAACAGGTTGCTAGGAGTGAAACATTAGCCATCCGGCTGTCAAACATTGCAAACATGGTTCTTTTTGCTGCAAAAGTGTATGCTTCAGTACGTAGTGGCTCGCTTGCTATTATAGCTTCCACTTTGGATTCTCTTCTTGACTTGTTATCGGGGTTCATCTTATGGTTTACTGCATTTTCTATGCAAACACCAAATCCCTACAGATACCCAATTGGTAAAAAGCGCATGCAGCCGCTGGTGAGTTTTGTTTCAACATGTACTTTTTATAATTCCTTTTCTAGGGAACTGTTTTCATAATCCATTCGACCACTCTCATTGGTGTGTATTAATTAGTTCTATTCAGTATAAGTGCTGCATACTTCAGTTACTAGTTTTACTCTCCATAGTGCTTTTGTATAGCACTAAGAAAAGGAATTCAAACGGATATTGGATCAGGAAAATAAATAAATTAATGCAAAATCTTGAATGAAGTGGTGAAATTAGAACATATGATTGAGATTTGTGATTTAAGAAGAAGACTTAATATCATGCTCTAACTTCTAAGGCACTCTGGGTGTTCCAGTGTTATCCTGTATTTTTATTTATTTTTTTGCTTTTGTTAGCTGCCACTTAGGTGTGGTCTATGAAATTTTAAGCCTAAAAACTATAGAGTATTCTTTCGACGCTTCCGGTTTAGTTTTGTAACTGTTCGGGCACGTCTTGTACTATTAAGCAATACCTTTTTGCTTACTTTTCAGTATGTTCACAGCTTCATTATAACCTTTCTCCAGGGAATACTTGTCTTTGCCTCAGTCATGGCAACGCTTGGCCTTCAGATCATCTTAGAATCAACTCGATCACTGTTGTCTGATGTAAGTCCATTGATTTTTATTGGCTTCGAAATACCTTTTTTTATCTCCACTGTCCTTCCGAGCAGAAATTTCTCCAAGGGCATTTCTTTTCCTTTTCTAAAATCATGAGTTGCACTAACATCACCCCTACTACTCACTGTTGCACTTCTGAACTTTCCTGTTCTGTTTTTCAACATTAGCTGTGTGGGAGCCTTGATCTTTCAGTATCAGTAACACATAGTCCCTGCAGTTCACTAAAAGCTGTCATTTGGGACATGAGTAATCAAACTTTTAAAATCGGCTACTTGTACATACTCCCTCCATCCCAAAATAAGTGTCTCAAGGTTAGTACAAAGTTGAGACACTTATTTTGGGACAGAGGGAGTATATTCAAAAGTATTTAGAGACGCCTAAAAGTGGTGTAGATGAATTTATCTCAAAAAGTACTTTCATTGTTTCATAGTATCTTATAACTTTTGTTGAATTTTATAAACATATTTAAATATAAATTAGTGGACCAAGTTGTGTTCTGTAGATCATGTCAAATGTTGGTTGTTTTGGTTTATTGACATATAAAATCATTCTGCCCACTGTACTAGTGTTCCGTACTTTCGATACTTTGATACATATCATATCTTGCCACTTTAGGTTCGTTATATCACTTCTACGACAACACTATGTGTTAACTAAATAATTGCTGAAGTACCCCTCACCACTCCCATATGTAGGCTTGTTAGGTTTTGTTAAGACAAGGTTTGCCCAGGAATTACTTTATTAATATGTGCATTTTATGACTTGAAATTGGTATCACTAGATTTATTTTCAACAGTACTTCCAGCTAATCGTGGTTCTGTATTAATAGAATTCTTGGTCAAAGTCTTGATCTGTATCCTTTATTGTGCACCAGAAGCCTCATGATTTTGGCTAGCCAAGTTTCCCAGTTGCCATGACCAGTGTGCTTTTGCCTACCGTGCTCCTTGAAAGAAAATAAAGATTTTGCTATAAGCACTATACTTTTCCTACTGAACCTTTCTTGTTACATTGTACTCAGACTTATCACAATCTCACAAAAAAAAATCTGTCTGGGAAATAATTAGCTAAATGTAGGCCATGACATTGGAATGAGAGCTTCCTAAAATACCCCCTCCGTTCACAAATATAAGATGTTCTGACTTTTTTGTGAATCGGATGTTTATAGACACGTTTTAGTATGTTTGTTCACTCATTTCAGTCCATATGTAGTCCATATTGAAATATTTCAAAACATCTTGTAGTGAACGGAGGGAGTACTTTTTTCATCAATAGTCTGCAATCTTTGTTGTTGTGCAGTTCCTTTTCGAAGACCATCTATGTATCTGACTCTGGAACTAAGACTCTTAGATACAAACTTCAAAACTTCCATTGCAATTTTTGTTTGCTCATATTGAAACCATCATTTTTTAGGGTGGTGAATTCAGCTTGACGAAGGAGCAGGAAAAGTGGGTTGTGGACATCATGCTCTCAGTGACGCTGGTGAAACTTGCCCTGGCTTTATATTGCCGCACGTTCACCAACGAAATCGTCAAGGCTTATGCGCAGGATCACATTTTCGATGTTATCACTAATATAATTGGCCTTGTGGCTGCACTGCTCGCAAATTATTTTGAAGGATGGATCGACCCAGTTGGTGCAATTATTGTAAGTGGTTCCCCTTCCCTCTCTTCTTTTTCTTCTTTTACATAACAACCAAATAACATGAATGATAAAGCAGACAGTATGCTGTTTTGAAATTGACAGTTGATTTTCAGAGAAAAATAATAATCATGAGTTGGTTCCTCATTTACAGCTAGCAATCTACACCATCAGGACATGGTCCATGACGGTGCTGGAAAACGTACACTCGCTCGTCGGGCAGTCGGCTTCGCCAGAGTACCTTCAGAAGCTGACCTACCTTTGCTGGAACCACCACAAGGCCGTGAGGCACATCGACACGGTGCGTGCCTACACGTTCGGCTCGCACTACTTCGTGGAGGTGGACATCGTGCTGCCGGCCGGTATGCCGCTGCAGGAGGCGCACGACATCGGCGAGGCCCTGCAGGAGAAGCTGGAGCGCCTGCCTGAGATCGAGCGCGCCTTCGTGCACCTTGATTACGAGTTCACCCATCGGCCTGAGCACGCTCTGTCCCACGACAAGTAGCTTCAGGTTCAGCCGGTGGATGCAGCTCTGTACAGATTAATGGCAATAGTTTCAGAAATCCGGGTGTTCGTCAAGGCGTCGCAGAAAAACCTGCGGGTGCAGCACGGAACTGAAATGTGCATACTGGAGTGCCGGATCTGGCGATGTCGACGTAGATTGTGTCTTTTGTAAGTTGCTGTACTACGTACGTAGTGTTGAGAACCAAAACAAAATGAATGGAACTCTCCTCTCTTTCATTGATGATTCTACATATATAGGTACAGGGAGGACGCCTCATTGGAGAGGCGTCTGTATGTGAACCGGCACGACGGTTGCCGAAATAGCATCCATCGACGGTTAATACAGGTAGGGATTGTCCATTAATTAAGTATGTTAATTAATCTTAACACTCCCCCTAATCCATGCTTGTTCAGGTAGCATCATCATCTTGAAAGATTCTCCTCCAAAAACCTTGTGGGAAAAATATGAGGAGTGGTGTAGAATATGTTGCTAAAACTCCTTCAAACCCAATGGGAAAAATAAAGAGAAAATGATGCAACATATAATGATTATTGTCTCTTTCAACTCAATACGAGAAAACCCATAGAGTTTAGAGGACAATAAATATGTCGTATATACTTTCCTAAAAACCCCGGTGGGGAAAACAGAAAGTATGACATATGATCTCATGTTGATATTACCTCATTAAAAACCTTTATGAGAACTTGTAAAGTAAACTCATGAAGGGAAAAAGAGTATAATATGATGCTTTGAACAGGAACAATTCAGGAAGATACTCCCCCTGATTCTTGCAAATTCCAAAGCCGTCAGATACCAATTCCATGAACATGTTTCTGGAATGTAAAAGTTGGTAGAGACTTGGTGAACAAATCAGTTGCATGATTTGACTTGCAAGATGCAATATAGTGATATTGCTTATTATGTAACATGTTTGTATCAGGGCAACACAAGAAACATTATCGTTGAGATAATGATTGGTGAATGTAGCCATGAGGTCTGTTTCAAAGACTCCATGAGAGGGCTACCACACCTAGTAGGAACACTAAACTTGTCTACGATCTGACATAGTGGGATGATCGATGTATCCAATGATATTGGTGTTCAGATTTCTCCGAAACTGAAAAACCAGGACAAGATGTTTCATGCCTTGGAGATATCGAAAGATATTCTTAAGTACCAACCAATTGTGTTTGACGGATCCAATGGCATTATGGAACATTGAGTCCCAATATCTCATTTCCACCATCTCTTGGTCTAAATAGATCTTTCTCTACATTTAGAGAATGAACTACCATGAGAGTTATGGATGGATAAGATTTGTCCATAATAAGTTTCTCCAATATGTTTTGGATATAGACAACATGATGTACCATAATGTATGAATGAAGGTGCTCAAGTTGTAGTAACGAGCAGTGTTTTGGTTTACCCAGATCCTTCATTTTAAATTCCGTCATTTAGATGATTACATGTGTCGTCATTGCAGACACACAAACATGGATAATCATCATTGTAGGAGTAATCCTTGTGGAAAGAAAATCATTAAGTCGGTTGTACCAAATGTACCGACAACAATAAGTCGGATGGTGACTTAATGATTTTACACAATGTATGTTGCATTTGGTATTTCGATTCAGAATTGAGATTCCATCGGGAATCAATCATATATGTCTGAATCTAGTGATGCACATGGATATGTAATCACTACATCTATCAACTGCAGAGATAGATGATTTTCTACTGCCAATGATATAAGTTATCGGAAAGAGATTCCACCTCTGGAGAATAGTTGGGTATCTGCGTGAACCCTTATGCTACAATACTTGCTCTTTGTTTTCACCACCTGGTTGTTCTCAATTCTGTTTTCAGAAAAAAACTGGTGTAGGTATTTCTTATGAATACCTTCCCATTATTGAGCAAGATCATTTCTACCTAGATTATACCCTTTGCTTGAGCTCAGTCCGAGTGTTGTTCACACTTTGCCATGGCCATGGTCTTTGGATCTGAATCATTTGAAAGGTTTTTGCAATCTAGTTGAGAAATGTATGTCGACAATTTGTAGACTTTCGGTTATATGATTCTCCAGAATCTATATATTAATATATAATTGATGGAAATATCGTTACCCATGGTGACTGCTTGCGATTTCCCAATGCGACTGAGTCGGGTATTCCGATGTCCCGGTCATTGTGTGCACTATGACCTGGGTTGGTGGAGGTTTCCCATCCACTGGGTGTATACTACCCATTAGGTGTATGTCAACGTGAAGTTGACTTGCATTTACTGATTCACACGCCTTGATATCCTTGCTTGCGAGAAGCTGAATCTTGATGTACTTTTGCCATACATCTCCCCATGTTGCATCGAACGGGGAGTTGAGTGTTTTTTGTTGGTACCTCTACTCTTTCAGGCGTACTTTTGCAGGATTGTAGAATTGTGTGACACCTTTATATTCAGTAAATGAATCTGACAGTTTATTTGCAATGTGTTGCAAATCTTCTGAACGCATGGTTCAGATCTTTGAGTGCGTGGAATTGAGGAAGAAATGTGTTGAACATTTCACTAATTTTCTAGCATTCTTTATGATACTTGAAATCTCCCCCTGATGCCTGGAAATGTTCCTCATTGAATTAGCATACTGGCCTTGAATAACTCCCCGTGCGAGGGGCTTGAGGTATTGACGGAAATACAGTTATTCCTCACATAGATCCCAACTATATGTTGAGGGGCCAATGATGTATGTTGGGGTGGTGATATCGGTATGCAACCGAAATACCGCAGATGGGATATACTTGGTAGATTTCCACGTATCAAAGATAGAGGGGAATAATAGTATGCAGTTTGGTCATGAGCATGTAAACTGCATGACTCCAACATAAAGTTGGTAAATTGCAATTCCAAAGTAAAGATAATGCAATGAGATTAACTCTTTGGATAAATAATTCTACCAAACCATTTTGAGTCTAGACATTAGGACAAATTGCTAAACTTCAATCCAAGGGCCATATAAAAGGCACTGAAGGAGAATTCTGCAATGTTATCCATTCGATTTGCTTGAAATCGATGTCAGGATAATGAGCCAATGGTTTCGTGTGGATAAACCACACTTGAGACCATCGTATAGATGCGTCTTTTGGAACCATGGAACACCTGAATAGTCTAGTCAATGGATGGAAAGAGTGACTTACCTCAACTTGATGCATTCAAGGAGTCTGAGTGGTTCGGCCTGGAGTTTAAGGTGCGCGAGCCTTAAAATTAGCTTCCCTGTGTCACATGTAGTGTACACAAAATCCAAATATCGTTAGAATTTAGCATCAAAATAATTATAAACTATGGAATTGCTCATAGTTTCGGTTTCAACCCAATGTCTCGATGACCAAGGCGAGTATGCCAAGTTTTCCATGTACAAGACATTTTGGAAAACTATCTTGGGCGCAACATGTGCTATGGGTTTTGCAGTATGTGTAGTACAATCCTGATGATACATAGAGAATGTGCTTGCCATATTCGTTGCATATGGTAAAGAGAAGTTAGTCCTCTTTGTTGTCATCATAAGTTTCGCTATGGAAACTATTTTGACGGATACCTCTATAGTTTAGTAGGGTACGAGTTAAATCGGGAAGCAATAAAGCATCCTGACGTTACTCGAGTACCCACAGGAATAGTAAATATGACTCGAGTTGAGCCAAAAAATACCTCATCGCGTCTAGCGATTTTACAATATGCCCTTTCTCTCAACGAGAGTGTAAACATTTACTTCCCTGAGTATAGAGTTCGTGGTGCATATGTCCACAAGGCACAAGTCATCTTTTATCAGATTGACCCCTGTAGAAATCTATATATAGACATGAAGATTCTCAAGAAAATCACTGTCAAATATATATAATACATACAAATGTATTTGTACCAAAATGCTGATACAATATATTGTGATATACAATATATGATGACAACAATAATCATGTTCATATTAGAACATCAGAAATGGACATAAATAAATTGATCACTAAGGAGATTGAGGGACTAAATGTAGTCTCCAAACATGTCAGTTGATGCATATTCAACCTTCATGTTCTCCGTGCCCATAGGGTCCCGTGATAGCAGGGTAGTCATTTCATTGCTCGGTTTTAGAAGAACATTATGCAAACAACTGACTTCCATGATGGTGTCAGGTTTAAGGTTTGAAGTGAGTTTCAAACCTTTACCCTTGAGGTTCTTTGCGTCCCGGTGGTGTGGCTTGGGTTACACGCGCTATCCCATGGGAGGCAAGACTGATCTTGATGTCCATGACCCGCTTAAGTAAGTTGTGGCCATTAAGGACAAGCGCCTCAAATTACTTAGCCATCAATTACTTATAGGGGCAAGCCAGAGATAATTAATTTACAGTAGTAAATTAAAGACCATCATGGTTAGTGTTGTAATGAATTTTGCAAAAATAATGGATATTTCAAGAACTTAGCTTGAAACCATTAGTGTGAATCTCAAATTGCTAAGTATGACATCTTGAAGATAATCTCCAAAATGAAGTAGATCTCGCAGCATTAGGGAGTATAATCTGATGAAATCAGTAGATACTCACTCATAATGCCTTATGTCATGACTTAGTAAAATGTGTAGGAGAGCACTTTGTAAAGCAATTATAATGTCGAGAACGACAAAATGTAGGCTTTATCAGTAGTCATCGATAATCTGCATATGCAGTAGATCCATATGACTACCTTGTGATCCCAAGCATCAATCTGAAAAACAACACTTAGAATTTTGCATTCAATATTTGCAAGAAATTGAAAATCTCAATTGCAAATAGACGTATTAATCTTGACATGTAGCGAACATGGAGATACATACGTTCCAGAATACATCATACTCAACAGAAATACACTACTATTGTAATGAATAGTAATGATGTTGCAAACTTGATGTTCAAGTGAAAAACTTGAATTATATAGATCTCAAATTAAATGAGATGATCTTGTATCAAGTTGCAAGATAATTCAGCAAGGTGAATTAATATTTTGCGGAAGAAAAATTAATCTCAATCGCAATGAGATTGTTTTGCGAGAAAAATTATATTTCTCAATCGCAAATCAATATTGTTGTGCGAGAAAATTTAATCTCAATCGCGAAAAACATGTTTTGAAGAATGTGGTAAACACATTGAACATGTCAAATATAAATATACACATATTTCTAGAATTGTAAAACTCAACAGAAAATGGGTTGAAATGCATATCCATGCATACATGGTCTAATAAAGATGACAAGTGCTAATGAATAGCACGAGTAGTTGAACCATGTTCAGTTATCCTAAGACGTACAGGAATTACTTCAAGATTTATACACACAAGCCTATTATGAAAATAGGTAAAGCCGCATGGGCTAAAGTGTATAATCGCGAAGGGATAAGGCTCCATGGCCTTTCCAATTTTCATGTGCGGTTACGAATCGAAGGATTCGTTTTGGCTCACGCCGCCGTGCTACGCACCACTGTTCGCT